CATTTCTGAAGCATCAAGATGGGGAAATCACATTATTGTAAGGCACTGCAACATTCACAAATGCGAAAATTAACTGACATAACTTTGAACGATTGCTAAATGAGGCAGTTGGCAAGTAAGGCGTATCAGAAACATACTAGCTGCACTTCTTCATCAAGGAAGTAAGATCCAGGCCTTTGCTAATTCCCATGTACAATACTGCAATGTACTTCATAAGAAAATTGTGCCTTTAAGAGGGTTTAGAGACTGAGAGTAGTTTTAAACAGGTAAGCACTCTCTATTTTTCACTAACTTCTAATTTCTTTCTAAGGACAAATAAAAACATTTCTTTCCTATTAAACTTACAAGAGTGTTTAGCTACAGCTACATAAATTCTGCACCAAGGGAACATTAGTTTGGTACAGAAATTATCCTGCGGAATTACCTGGATTATGAAATATTCTCTTTATGGAATGAGATTGGCTTCATTTTTATTTAGTTTTAAGTGGTCTCTACCTGTCCAATTTGGTCCAGTAGATTGGGCGTGCTATGGCCAAGGAATGTCAGCTGGCAGGGACTATGAGCCTTCTCTACCCTATCTCCTATCCCTGGTAGAGTTGCTCTTTAGAGTTCAGGATGACCCCAAGCCTTTTAGCCTTTTCTTACTTCCTTGATGAAGAAGTGCAGCTTGTGTATTACTTGAAGGTCTGAGGTTCCATGTGCATGAAAGATCTTGTTTCCTGGGTACGTCAGCATCTATGATGACATGTTTTGTCACCTTACATATTTAATTTTATACTACGTTTAAACTATTTTTCATTGTTTTATGATTGTTCATTGCCCAGAATCACTTGTTTGAGAGAGCAGATATGGAAATTGAATAAATTTTGTTCTTCTTTAAAAAAAAAATCTACAATTTAATTATCAATTTTAGAAATGATGTTTTTTCCCTCTTAATTTATTTGTTTTGATTTTTTTTAATTTTAAAGTTACACTATTTAATGCAATTCACCTTCCAGGATACCATTTCTACTAGATACATTTCATTGGAACAGAGCAAGCCTTTTCTGAACAACTCTCAGAGAAATTTAAGTATTTCTTTGTATCCTTGTCAAGTTTAACAAAAGTATGATTTGCACCCATAAACCAGTAAGTATATGACATACAGCTTGAAACCTAGCAATTATGAAAACTGAGAGAAACTGTGCACTAGAGGGCAGCAAAGACAGTTGAGTAGATTGCATTATTCAACTTTTGAAACTTGTACAGTATAAGAACAAAACCTTGTTTAACACAAATCACTGTCATTAAAAAATAATGCAAATGTAGTACCTACAGAATTTCAACGTCATTGGTAAGCTATATGTATGTGTATATATACATATATACACATATACATACATACACACACATATACACACATATATACATACACACACAGAAAGAGATGTCTACAACTCTAAAAGGATCCAATTATTGACTATTTCAGTAACACATAAATTATTTCTAAAGATTCCAATAAAACTACACTAAGGATCATGTATCAGCTGTTTTATATGTTAGATGCATTTCTATTGTTACAGAGGAAAAACCTAATTTTTTCAAGTTCTCTTTTTTTTAACTCCCTCTATTGTTGTTTCGTTTAAGCAGTGTTTGCTATGTAAGGACATAAAGTTGTAGAAATCACTCACATGGCAGAAAGCGTGCTATACTGAAAAGATCACCTGAATTTAACCTGAATTTATAAACTTGAAATGTTTTAAGTAATACTCTGATAATTTACCTAAAATAATTTATGTGATCCAGTAAATTTTTATTATTGTTCATTTCTTAAATGATCCATAGAAATAGCTATTTTGACATGTTTTTGAAGGCTGCCAGGCAACAAATTCCTTTATATTTCCATTAATACAGCTGCCCAATATCAGAATCAAATTTTCATCATACTTGAAAAATGCACAAAAAATAGATTTTTAATAATATGTATAATAAAGTTTAAACTAACATTTAACTTTGATGGTGACCTTCTGTAGGTTTGCAGCTTGTACTTCTTGTGTATTTTTTTTTTAAAAAACTATAAATTACCACAGCACCTATTAAAATTTATCAATCTTCCAGAACATATCCTCATCAGATCAGTTATTTTGGTAACATGCCTAAACTAAGCCGTAAGCTTTTTTAAAAATGAAATCAAGTTAGCTTTAAAAATGAGACATACTTGATTATGAGAGATACAAACATTACAAGAATCTCATTCAAGTTTTCAAAACTATCATGTTTAATTATTATAGCCATTTTATTTTAATAAACATCTATACTTCAAAAATGCCTTGAAAGAATTTTTAAGAAAATAATTAAAGTAAATTAACTATCCTAAACTATATGTAACACCTGACATCCAGCGACCCTGAACAACTTATAAATGACTTAAAATATTAAAAACAAGACAATAAAGACAACAAGAAACATGGAAAAGACAAAGATGGGAGAATACCAAATTGGGTGGAAACAAAAGAAAGTAACTTAGAAGTCTTCATTTATCCTCACCAAAGACCTGGGCAAAAAGCCAAATCTTCACGCCCTTCTGAAACCCCAACAGGGTGGGGACCATTTGGACTTCAGAGGGAACTTCATTCCAGACAGCAGTCACCACAACAGAGGAGACATGCTATCAGGATCCCAATAGATGGCATTGCTTACTTGAAGGAATTCAGAACATATCAACCCTGTCAGATTGAATTGGAGACAGATATTATAGGAGATACACAGTCGCTCAAGAAATCATGTCCTGTGCCATGTTTAAGAGTCTTTAAGAGTCACTTAGACTCGTAGACTTTAGGAATCATTTTTGATTAATCCACTCCTTAAATCAAGAGCATCTCCTTTGAGGCACAAACAGAAGCCTGTTTTAATTAGTAACAGAGGTGCTGTGTTTTTACGAAGTCCAAGGAACAATAAGAAAACCTATCTTAAGTTTATTTAGCTGTTAAAAATAATATTAATTGGGGGGGGGGTGTGTGTTGTTATATTTGTGTCTCTAAAAGTATTTAAGTCAAAACTAGTCTTACTTTCTATCCAGTTTGTAAAAGTTACAACTTCTTGTCTTTGTTTCTTTTAGCATGTCTATAGTAAGAGAGACCAGAATAAGAATTTTTATTTTCTCAATACATGCATGCCAACATAATGCCACACCTTTCACTTTTGATAATTACACTGCTTTTCATATTATTGAAAAATCTTTGTCAGGTAGAAAGGAAGATTGTTAGTGCTCTGTATGTAGATAGCAAAATTAAACTAATTTTATAATGCAAGTATTTTGAGTCACATCTTGCTAAACTAGCATCTCATTGTAAAATACATAGCGAAAAAACCTTGGTTAAGCCACCAAATATAAATTGCTAATATATTCTATTACACCTAACGTGTATTCAACCTTATACTTGCATCTGACAATGCAAGTATAAGGTTGAATACAAGGTGGCGCAGTGGTTAAATGCAGCACTGCAGGCTGACTGCTAGATCAGCAGTTCAGCGGTTCAAATCTCACCGGCTCAGGGTTGACTCAGCCTTCCATCCTTCCGAGGTGGGTAAAATGAGGACCCGGATTGTTGTTGGGGGCAATATGCTGACTCTGTAAACCGCTTAGAGAGGGCTGAAAGCCCTATGAAGCGGTATATAAGTCTACTGTTATTGCTATTATTGCTATTTTGTTTCTAACATATTCCTAAACAAATACTATAGTCTTTAAAACAAACCAGAAAGAACATACACAAAATCAGCCATACCACAGTTATTATAATGTCTAATTACCATATTTTTCTGAGTATAAGATGCATCTTTTTCCCTCAAAAAAGAGGCTGAAAATCTGGGTGCATCTTAGACACTGAATACAGCATTTTTTGCCTCCTGAAACCCCGCCCCATTCACCAAAATGGCTGTGCATATTCTTTAGGAGGCTAAAGAGTGCTCCTGGGGTCTGGGGAGGGGAAAATGAGCCCAAAACAGGCCGATTTTTGTGCCCCTCCCCAGCCCCAGGAGCACTCTACAAGCCTCCTAAAGGCTATGCGTGCCATTTTTTGGGACAAAAAACAGCCCGTTTTCGCGAAAAACCAGTCATTTTTGGAAGGTTTGCAGAGTGCAAAACCATTTTTTTTTAATTTGCCTCTTCAAAATCTTGGTGCGTCTTATACTCCAGTGCATCTTATACGCCAAAAAAAATACGGCAGTCACTAAAATTTATACACTCTAGTCCTAATCTTTCTAATACTCAATCTTTCAAGCCAATGAAGGACTATTGGACTTACAACCCTTCATATAGAGACCATTCAAAATTACAATGGCACTGAAAAATAGGTGACTTATCATCTGGTCTGGCACTTACAAATGTCTCAGCATCCTCATAGTTATGTGATCAAAATTGGGGGTAGCGGGGCAGGGAAGGGTTGCAAAATCAGGTTTGACACGCTTAACAGAAATTCTGGTCCCAATTGTGGTCTTAAGTCAAGAACTAATACTCTTCTCCCTAATAATTTCATGAAAGAGTCCTGCAGAGCCCTGGAATACTGCTTCCAATCATTATTGCGCTACATAAATGAATACTATGGAAACAGAACTGCATAATTTGACATGTGGCAAAACGTAGCCATATTTAAAGAGAGGGCACTTTGGATCTTTGCATTTATTCAACTCTTTTTAGCAGATGCTCCCATAAAAGCTACTTATTCTCCCATACGTTAAAGATCAGTTAAGAAATTGGTAGCATTATATTTTTAAAAAGGAACTGAAAATTGTTCATGTGCTATTCAAATACTACATACACAAGCACACACAAATCAATTTTAAAAACCAAGAAAATATTTTTTTCACAAACTTCTTTTTGAACTGGGGATTGTCAAGAAGGAAGGAAACTCAGAAAAAAATTAAGTGACAGCCACCCTCTCAATCAGAACTATATTACTTAAATATGTTGACAATTTAACAGGCCAAAAGTAATTTGAAAACTTAATTAAATTTTCACACACCGAGTTTTCATCCTCTTCTTCCAGTTCCCTCTGCTGTTCTTCATGCTTTTTGGTCTTAATTTCCATAGCTTCAATAATCAGGTCTCTCAAAATTGAGACTTGCTTGGCATTTCTAATAAAAGGATGCTAGAAAATAAAGCCATAGAGTTATACAACATGGAGCCTACAGACAATCTGTATTCGCAGTATAAATAAAGTAACATGTTAGAACAACATGCCAATCAACTTCACAGACCAGCAGGAGAGAACATTTCCCTTTGGACAGCAATTAAAATCTGGAATAAGAGAGCATATGATCTGTTTAACTGCTTTACAACTAAATAGGATTTTCCTTTTTGTTTGTTTAGGTAAACAGCAACCATGAGAAGAATGTTACAACAAAACACAACTGCTTTACAGTTAAGGATATAATTGTCCAAAGGAAATGTGAATTAAGTGGTAAATAAACAAATAGAAGATAGCCTGACAGAGAAAAATAAACTTTATAATTCAGTCAGTTATATCATTTTAATTCATTTTAACAAGCTGACAATGCAAATTAGCAGTCATAAGCAGAGCAGCCACTATAGCATGAGAAACCTGTATTCTAACAGAACACAAATCACTGAGGTATTGGCAATGATGAAATATATATGAAGCAAAATTTAAATCATCAGGATGGGCAGTTGAAATACAACAAAAACAGATTTATTTAAAGACAACTTATACTCCTGTTTTTTTTTTTAAGAAAAAAAAATCTCCATTCTCTCTTTCAGTGCTGTGAATTTGGCCCTTATTAGAGCATATCCCTAGGAGCAGTTAGTGGTGAAGGATGTTGAGAACTGGAGCTCAGAAACATCTGGAGTTTCACAGGATGCCTACCCTAAAAATCATTACTCATTTCCTGCACACAGCACTGATACCTTCCCACAAGGCTGTGCATGAGTCCCAGAGATACAGTTTCAGTTGTGGATATAAAATATGGCCTTTTTCTCTATATTATATAGCCAGTATTTTGTGATTGCCCAATCAAATGTTGCTGTGTATTATGGGCTATGACATCAGTTAGAAAAAATGAACTTGCTCAAATTTAACAACAATGCAAATTATGCCCTTTTTGTTCCTGTACTGTCCAAAGACTTTTTCTTTCTTTTTCTAAATCTTTTTTTGTTGATTTTCCACTCAATGCGCACATCCATTATAACAAAGAATTGTTTACATAGATAACATTTCTGTATAACAATCACATTCTTCTGTAACATTATAATTGCTACTGGTGCTATACTCAATCTATCAAGCCATTGAAGGAATATTGGACTTACAATATTTTGGTTAAATAACAAAAAAGTGAGGGGGCTTTTGAAATCACTTCTCTTGACTTTCCCAAAAGAAAATGATTACAGAGCAAATTCTTAAAAGGATTATAATTACATAAAATATAGATATTAATGTAGCACCAAGAACAAATATCTGAGTTTATTATGGAATATAAAAAAGTATAAATTAAAGAGAAAGGGTGACAGAGGCAAAAAAGAAGGATGAGGAGAAGAAATAATGAGAATGAAAAGGGTTAGATAATTCATATCCAAATGTTCTGGCTAGTGAAAATTGTTCAAAAAAATTACTGTTTGGTCAGGAAACAGCACTAACTACTGACTGCAGTAATACTAACTGCAGAGATAGCATTATTCTAAATGTAACATGTTCAAAATAAACATGTTTAAATATCATAAAAGTGGAGAACTCTCAGCAAATCAAAAGGATTCCTCAGATCTGCTTTTCTGAAAGAATCGGTCATTTGCTGAGAGATCTTTCTTTTCTTGCTTACCAAGCAGTTAAAGAAATTACAGTGAGCCCCTATTACTCACTGTGGAAACACTGAAGAATTTTCTGTCAGCTATTAAGTAGACAAAAAGTAATTCAGTGGGGGTGAGCAGGAGATTTTCATCTGACTAAGCACACATGCAAACTTTCCTTGGCTGATAGCTTCTTGGGGAAAAAATAGCTGCATACAGAACTGACCTGCAGAAGGTGAGTTGCGGTAGCTCTCTGCTCAGGATTCTTCACCAAACATTTCTTCACAAAGTCGGTGAATTCATCAGACCAAAGCTCTGGCTTCCGGAATGTTGGCGGGGGATTTGTGGGAATCATAAATATTGCCTGGAAAAGGGGGGGGGGAGATATATGTATTTATTAAATAAATAAGCAAGTCACTATTTCTATAATAGAAGTAAGAAGTGCTTCAGGACCAAGCTTCCATTACTATGTTCAATGCAACTAGTACAACACTAGATCTCACTAGAATTATGGAAATGGTGAGAACTATATTTTTGCAAATAAAAAAGCATCCATTTACTTTTACACATCAAAATTACACTGTGTGTCATATCATTTCCTAAAGTCAATTCAAATATTCAAATATTTAGTTTTCTTGAATATGTCATAGAAACTATTTACCTTGAGGGAAAGCTAGCAACTAAGTCCTTCGTCACATGTAAAAGGATTATAACTATTTATACAAGGTGATATATTGATTTAAGCAAAAATGATACAATACATTTATTCTCTTTAGAGGTTATATCTCCAAATTGATTATTTATGGTATAAGTTAAAGAATGATGACGATATATAAAGAGGGCTGTGAAAATATCTACAGACCCCTTGCATCCTGGACATAAACAGTTTCCTACCCTCAAAATGTTATAGGGCACTGCATGTCAGAACAACTAGACACAAGGACACCCCCCCCCTCAATTGCCATCACTCCGCTAAACAACTAATTCCCATAACACTGTCAAACTATCTAAAAAGACAGCATTACCATCATTATTCTCATCTTCCCTATTACCTATCTTTTTATCTTCTTATGATACTTAGTTGCTTATCACTATTGTTGTATGTACATTTAGAGCTTATGCAATGGAAACAATTTCCTGGTGTGCCTAATCATACTTGGCCAATAAAGAATTCTATATGATTTTGTTTCTTAGCTTGACAATCACCAATTCAAATTCAGTAAATCACATTATCTTCAACTTAACAAACCAAATTTGTAATAGCTTTCAAAAGTCCGTAAAAAAAAGTTGTCTTAACTACTGTTTTTATAGCATTGTCATCACAAAATAAGCTTGGTCTATTTAATAATTAACACTGATCTACGCCACACTGACTCAGCATAGATTTTGTCACATAATCTATGAAATACATATACATTTAAAAAAGACTGCAGCCTTTCAAGATATTCTGAGAGTTATTCGAGAATAATATTGTTGGAAAATATAATTTAAACTACTCAATTTACCATCTGCTCAGTGCAGAGATCCAAGTGAGAGCATCACTAATAAATCTCTGGTCCTAATGTTACTATTAGAAACTTTCTTCTAGTATTTAATCTGAATTTGCCTTTCAATAGCTTCAGACCTTATTATCTGGCATGGTTTGAGCTTCTTCCCTATGCCATGCTCAGGGTAATACTATTACTTTTTAGGACAAAATAACAAACACTTAATGCATGTATATGGTCTACTCTTCAACAAGACTTCTTAAAGAACCAGATTCAACCCAACTACTAATCTAGTAATAATGGAGTAAGCTGTTATAATGGCATACCCCTTGCTATACATCAATAATATTATAGCTGTAGTCATTTTATTCACTGATTTCATACTGCTACCTGGCAAATTGTCTTATCAGTTAATGCAACAAGAAGACAATAGTATGAGTCTTCCCACCCTCCTCCCGTTCCTGCATAGTAATTGGTCACCACAGAATTAATCACAACTACCACCACTCAATGTTTCCAGTCCAGCTTTATACATCCAAATTTAATACTTTCAGCACCTGGAAGTTTGATAAAGAATATGGTAGATCAACTTTTTAGGTTGAATCAGTAATCTGCATAGAACTACATCTTCATGATGCAGTACTGTGTATAAAGACATGCATAAAAGGAAACTCCAGCAGAAAGCATAAGGAACAAAAAAATGTCTTTACCACAGGATAAAATTACAGGTTCAGTGGAAGGCAGTTTTAAACTGAAAGGTTGTTTAGATAGCACTATCATATTTGAACTGCACAAATCTGTAGATTTACTGCAGTGAAGATTTTTACTGCCATTTAGAGGTTACCCAGATTTTTGTAGTCTAGATATGTCTTCAATCATTAGACAAATGCTTATTACCAAAATTTTACTATAGGAATCAAACTGCTCATGTATTTTATAGTTCTCTAATGCTTGCCTGCAACACTGTACTAGTTGCAACTTCTAAACAATTCACAGGTCATCCAATATAAAATGCATAGAAGGAGCTGGATATGAAAGTGACCAGTGTGTTGAGTTCCTAAATTTCTTTATAAATACAGACATGAAATTACCTTAAATTCTGGATAAAAGTAACTGTAAGTACCCTCGGTGTTCTTGTAACTAGAGTCCAATATCTAGTTCTTCATTATCCTGAACAAAAGAGATTGAACTATTCCTTAAATATTATAGATTATGAAGCCATTTCTTTGTCTAACTTGAGCTTCAGTGAACCAATAAGATATTTTGACTTTGATGCTGACCTTCAAAAAGCTATTTCAGAATGGTTTGTCTATATATTATCCATCCCAGGCAATTACTTTTTAATTATCACATAGCATAGCCAGTTATAATGTTCCTAAATACTATCTCTGCTACTGCTTAAGAATCTATTTATCTATTTAAGCAATTTATTATCTAAAAATCTATTCCTTTTTCTCTTTCTTGCTGGCTTGATTATTCAAATTAATTTAAATATTTCTTTTCAGGATTAAAAGAATACTTGGACTTTGTCAGTATATAAATTTCTAAAGACAGCAAAAAAGAAAATTGAAGGCATACTCACCTATCAATCCACACTCTTAGTGCCTTCCTACAGCTCCCACCTGTGGCACCTGCACACCAGAGGTGGGTTTCTGCCGGTTGGGCCCAGATCAGGTGAACCGGTAGTGGCGGCAGCAGAAGGCTCCGCCCATCTGCTTCTGCACATGCACAGAAGCGCGCGCACGTGCAGAAGCAAACAGGTAGTAAAAAAATGGAAACCAACCACTGCTGCACACCCACTGCACTCCATAGCCCCTGCTCACAGGAACTACCCACGTCTCTTATCTTGTAACCCAAGAACAACTTACATGTGGAAAGAAATTCAGCATAAACTTCTAATATTGACCATTTAGATAGCATAAGAACCGACCGTGTCTCTAATCTGGCCCACTGGTCAGGCAATTTCATTACTGGTAGTATTAAATGTAACCAATAAAGAAAGAAATATCAATCAAATACCCGATGCAAGTAACAAATTCCCTACAATAACCAAGACAATTTTAGACTATGTTTGAACTGGAATAGATCTGTTTTCCACAAATTACTTGGAACAAAGGAAATGTGTCACTTTATTATATTTGTCTAAAGTCAAGCGGTTTAACATTAGGTTTTTTCTAAGTATTTCACTTATGCTCCCATAAGATGAGGTATTATGACTTCCTTCAAAGGATAATTGACTATCACTGTAATCCAAGTCCTCTTTAGCAGACACTGGTTTAAAATATTTTGTCTAAAACAAATATTTATAACTGAAAATGTTGGATTATCCATCTTAAACATTTCATGACACAATACAGGTAGTTCTTGGCATACGACAATTGAGCCCAAAATTTCTGTTGCTAAGTGAGATAATTTTTAAGTGACTTTTGCCCCATTTTACAATCTTTCTTGCTACAGTTAAGGAAATCACTGCAATTCTTAAGTAAGTAGCACGGTTATTAAGTAAATCTTGTTCCCCATTGACTTTGTCAGAAAGTGGCCAAAGATGATCACATGACCTTGGGACACTGCAAGTCATAAATATGAGTCAATTGCCAAGCATCTGAATTTTGTTCATGTAACCATGGGAATGCTGCAACGGTCACGTGAAAAATGGTCAGAAAGCATTTTGCTCAGTGCTGTTGTAACTTCAAACAGTTACTAGATGAACTGTTATAAGTTGAGGACTACCTGTATCTAATTTTATGGCCATACAAAAATATATCCAACAAAGCGCACTGCAACTTGTCCCATTGTTATCGCTTTATCCATAAGATATCATTCACATTCAATGACACAATGGTAGAGGGAGAAAAAGAATACAATGCTATTAACGCTTCTGAAAAGTTAACTTAATTGAGTTTTGCCTCCCTTCAATCATGCAATAGTATTTTCTTACAGAAAGATATAGTACAGGGGGGAAAGATAAATTATAGGACTTGCATTTAAAGTATCAATTAAGGAAACTTAGTTTGAATTAAGAAAGTATGTGTAAAGAAACAGTCATAAAGAGCATCTACAGTTTTCTGTTTAAGTTGCTTTTAATATGGCATGGAATTTAACTAGAATGTTTTGCTTGTCTATCTTGTGCCAGGTTATCTATAAATCTGTATCTATGAACAGTATGCTCCCGTAAAATGATGACCTTTGGCTATTATTTCATGCAAAGTGTGGTGCACTTAAATTGGTGCAGTAATACCTGACAAAGAGGGAGGAAAAGATAAGGGAACAATTGCCATATGATTAAGAATAATGATGAGTTACTGAGATAGGCATTCTATGTTCAGCTGCAAGATTATTTTGCAATTTTACTCACATTGTGATAGCAATACAAAGGGTACAAATGAGTGAAAAGGGATTTCTGAACAGTTTGTACACTCAGATCCTTAAAAGAAACTTGATGTGATAGATATGCACATAAATGAAGGTTCCTATATGCAACCTGCAATCAAAATGCATGTGAAAGGTAAGCAACATTTACTTTGAATGCATAAACAGATGAGAGTATAATAGAGATGCAATCTGATATGTCTTGCATAAATCCCAGTTTTGTCCACTGCAAAATAATTTCAGTTATAGAACATTTACCTCAACCATACTCTATTCTTAAATAAAGTAGATCTGTCTGACAAGATGTGCTTTTCATGAAAAGCAACACGAAGAATCACAAACATACTGCAAAACAGGCCAATGCATCAGAGGTGGGTTGCTCCCAGTAGTAGCGGCAAAGGGAGGCTCTGCCCTCCTGCCCGGACGCTTCTGTGCATGCCTGAACCAATAGTAAAAAATTTGACAACCCACCACTACAATGCATGTTATTTGTATTTTCAGAGTCTCT